GTGCAGCATGCCCTCTTCAGGAAACAGTCTGGAAAATAGATCCATATTTAGTTAGGATCCTGATGTGTGGGTTTTAAGAGCACCTCTTCGAGACAGTTGTGATAGAATAGTGAATTGTGTGGGGTCAGGCACGGTAGCATGATGTTGGAACTGAATACGTGTTGGTTGTGTATGGATATGCGTAAGAAGAGAATGGGAGATTGCTGTGACGGAAGGTTTAGAAGGCTGATAAAACAGGTTTAAACCAGCTTTAAACTTTGTAACAAACTTCACTAGATTGATATTGATTAACAATGCACATTGAAAATGGCTAGTTCTTACTCATTCCTAGTCACTACCACTGCATATTCAAAGCAGTTAGTCTGTAACAATCTAATTCTAAATTAATTGGGAGCACACGGTACCACAGAGCACTGATAGCTATGGTCCTTGATGGCAAGATGTTTGAGGTTTTCACAGGTGCCCTTTCTTGTTGCTTAGTAGTTTTATTCCTCCTTTTCAGCTTTTGCTGCTATTGAAAGAAAAGCTGTTTGCGCTCCCCCTCCAAATCTCAAGGTTGCACTTCATCTGTGACTAGTAATTGACCATCACCGAGTTGCGTGCAGTTCTGGGGCCTCGGCTTTCAACCTCTGTCCGTATTTTCAAGGCCTTTGTTCTTATCTCGTATCTAAGCTGTGTGCTGTAACAAGAGTCACCTGGTACCCAGCTCTAGCTCACACAACAAGTTCTCCTAATAATTTCACAAGCGTAAGAGGGCAGAATTTGGGCCTTGCACATTTGGCATAGAAACACAGTTGGCGTAAGGCCTGATGAGGCCTGTTCCTAGCAGCGGCAATGCTGTTTTTACTGAGTCACTGGGTACAAAAACGCATATGCATTGTTTACTAGTCATGCTGTAAAAGTTTGCTTTTGTTTGAGTTCATAACCAGCTAATAATTAAATACTACTCAATCTGCTGCTACTTTTATCGGTGTAACAGCTTCTGCTTTGGCTACAGACAATTAAGGTTTTATAACTGTGGAGCTAGTGATGAGCACTGCATTCAACTGATGAACAGTGGAATCCTGGCTCTCCTGAGGATAGTGCTGTTCCAAGTTTAGCGTGAGTAAGTACCATTTCTTATATAGGTACAGACTGGACAGAGAGCATCAAGCTTTGTACGTGTATACATTTACAAAGACACTTTGCTTAATCTCTTGTAGATGATTAATTCTCCTTTATAAAAAGTGAAGAGGAATACATGGGTATGTGTCACCAAAATCTGTTCACATGAAGATTTAGTTTGTACTCTACTTTAAGCCTTTAAAAAAAGAAAAAAAAAGAGTAAAGGCTTAAAATGCTGAGAAATGTGTCGTTTGCATCGCTGATGTGCAAATCATTTTAGCATTGGGATACTTTCCTGAGATGATTCTAAGTAGTGTGAGGCGTTTTTTTGTTCTGATGACGTAGGCATGGTAACATTATCCTCTGTAACTAACGAATTGACCAGCTGTTGAGCAGGATTTTATTAAATATAGAACAGGAAAAAATGTGGTTTTAATGAAGCTGTTCGGAATACTAAAAGTACTAAGACTATTAAAATTTTTATGCCTATGTAAGTAGGTGTAAGGTTAGCCCTTTTCCAAAGAAATATGCTAATCATTTTTGTTAAGGGTAGAGGCAGTTCTGTTTTAAATTGTGACTTGTTTATCTCAAAGGGTGTAACTCGTCTGTTTAAAAAAAACGAAACAAAACACGAGTGTGTTGGTCACCAGTTGCAGCGAGACTTTTGGCTGATTAGAGCTGAATTTAAGGAAGAACTCAACAAACCTATTCTTTATTGAAGGTTTTCTTGCCTTGTATACCTTTTCACTTTCACCCCATTTTTCACACTTGGTGTTTAGTTTTGGTACATTAGTCACTCTCAGTAAATCAGGAGGAATTACCTTCCTAACTATTTCACAAACAACTTCACAACTACGACATATCCAGTTTCCAGAGGGGTGCTGGAATTATTTCAAGAGTTGTCTTAGAATGACACAGCCTCTTTCCAAAGCTTAAAAAAACCCCCCAAAACAAAAACCTATAATTCTTTAGAGGCACGTACAAATATACCCCAAATATACTCCCATTGTGCATTAATTAACGGGATCAGCTCCTTTGAGAACATTTATAAGGCAAGGGGGAGAATAAGGGAAATATTCTACCACCTTAAGTTTAGGAATGGCTTACCTGGTATGGGCAGAGAGATAACTAGTCAGCAGGCACTATAAAAGTCCATGAGTGATTACAGTACATAAATGCATGTTTATAGTTTCAACTGTTGCTCACTTCAGTTATTAATTTCCTGTCAAAACAGAAATACCACAGAGATGTTTCTGTACTGCTGTCTTCATGCATTCCACATAATCCCTTGATATCATCTGACCACTGTCCACTTAGATACCAAATAATGTATCGTTACAGGTACATGGTGATCATTAACCATGGAATAGTAAGTTGTGTTGCAGTCCTTGACATCTGTCAAATCTAGGATTAAACATATACTGAAGTCGGTGTGGGTGTGCGTCCAGCCATGGAAGCAGTGGGAAGCACAGAGATTCTTCTCCTGTGCACTTCACGAACCTCCATGGCCAACAGCAGTGCTGTAAAGTTAATTAAGTACATGTTGTTGGGTATTCATCAAGTTGTTGGCCACTGGAATTGTTTAAATGGCAGTAAAAATAGGGCTGGTTTGTGGTGGTTGGGGTTTTTGGTTGTTCTTTGGTTTTGCTTTTAGCACTTGAAATAGTGGGAGCCATTCTTCCATCTGTCAATGAATTTTAGTCCTTTCTTATGGCAAAGCTTTAATATTTGCTGTCTACCTTCTTACAGTTTTTGGATGGATATAAGGCTTTTTTTTCCTGTTGATAAACAGAATAGAAAAGTCAACAGCTGTATTTAAGTAGATCATTCTCATAGGTTAGACACTTTTTTGTAATCATCCTTGTTTCTGTTCTAGAACTTTAAGACGACGACTGTGAAATACTTGCCTTTTTTATTGCTGTTTTTAATGTTAATTATGTTCTGTGGGTTTTTTTCCTAAACAACTAGTCATAAAAAATCTTTAGCACTTGTCTGTTACAGCGTGGCGGTGATAGGTTTACTTTATTATTCAGTGTTTTCCACTTCCCAAACAAATGATAATTGGGGAAGAAATATTGACTGTTGTAACCACAGATCTTATTGCTGTAGAGGACACTGTCAATTCTTACTTGAAATTAAGTCACTGAGGGAATTAATCTGGAATATTTCAGATTTCTTTTTAAAGTTGTGATGTGTTTTAAACTATGGGATTTTCTGTATTTTATCACAGCAGATATTGCAAGAGAATAGTAAACAATTCAGTTTTTAATGAAATAACAATACTCTTACTTCTTAGTCAGCCCAAGAGTGTCCCAAGGCTATAGTTAAATAAACTGAAAGAAGTAAAACTTCCTTCTGCCATTTCTTGCAAAATTAACTTAAGTTTATGGAGAGCGGCATTGAACAGTCTTCATTTTCTCTGTTGACACCATTCATTTTCTTTACTGAGATATTTTAAGTGTGGAAAAAGTCAACTTGAGGGCTTTCTAATTTTTTTCACTGTACTTGCAATTCATTTTTCTGCACCATTCCTCCTGAAGCAAAAGATGGCTACAAATTGTTGTTTTAGCAACGTAAATGCGTGGTACAGTCACTGCCTTGCCTGCTTTTAGTTTACTGTGTAATGCACATTCACTTCTACAGTCAATAATAATCAATAATGCTAAATGCATGCACAAGACTTGTTGGAAGATAAGTGGTCCGAAGGTATTTGTGTCCCTCTGCAGAACTGCTGGTTCAACTGAAAGCAGAAGATCTAAAGGGAATTTTAACAAACAGGGAGCACTGCTAGCAGGCATCTGTGTAATTATCCTATTAAAACAGAGTAACATCTGCATTATCTGTGCAAGTGCAGAATAGAAGGGAACATTACATTCTCTAATCCTGTCTGGGAGCATTATGAAGTTAAAAGGATAACATTTTACCAAATCTGTGTTTTAACACGATAGGTTACGCTTAATTACCTTTTAATTACCTTTCTTCTCGTGTGGTTTTATGCTAAGGACCCTGCCTCTGGCCCTCATCGCAGAGCTTTTCTTGCCTTTGGATTGTTTATGCCAGGTTTTATCTCTGACTTTACCATGAAAAGATGGTCCTGCTGTGTCTTGAAGGTTGTTATTGCAATTCTTTTTCCCTGGTGTGTGAAAAGCTCCGAGAATATTAATTTTCTATACAAAAGACATGTTGTCGCATTCACAAGTATGTGTTTTGAATTTAGCTGCAAAAAGCAAACTCATTGGACTATGTTTTATGAATAAGGAGTAACTATGCATGGCAGAGGCCACACAGGAGTAAGAGGAGATTATTCCAGCCTTCTGACTGCTTGCAGTGTAAGCCGGGAGAGTGTATTGGCTTAAATAATGTAGATTTCTTTTTTCCTCTTTACCCCTGAGGGAGTCTGATTTCCTGATCACCTATCTAGCCATATGCCGTAGCTCTTGCCAGGAACTCTGAGCAGTGTCACTGCCAGCTAAAATTACTTGTTTTCTGAGAACTGAATTATGTTGAGAAATGTCTTATTGCTTCACTGCCAACATCGCACAGTTTTGTGTACGTACACACACACACACACGCACACACACAAAAGTAGAAGCAGCCTTACCTTGAAATTCAGCTTGGAAATCGCTTGAAGCGTTGAATTTGATCCAGGTACTGAGACGTGTTCTACACCTGCTCAAGCACATTGCTCCCTCTTTGTTCTCTTTCCAGCGCTTTTCTCAGCTTCTTTGTGCTCTGGCTAGTAGAGTACAATGTTGATACATACAAATTAAACATTTACAAAGAAAGCATATTGTCTACTCCTATTTTTGTCCCAGTTAGAGTGAAGACCTCGTATAGCTAGTAAAAACTTCAAATCTGTTGTGGGTAACTATGCTTCTTTTGTTTCCTCTTGCAACAGGATGGAACTGAAATACGGATATATGTTGACTAAGGAGTTGGAATAAGACTGAGTCCTGCTCTGTGATATTTATATACCTGGACCATGAACTTGCTGTTTGGCTTCACGCTTTAGGAACTTCTGTAGTAACTCTGTGAAGCTGTTGGGAATCATGGCATTCTCTCCATGGAAGCTGTCCTCTCAGAAACTTGGCTTTTTTCTTGTGACTTTTGGTTTCATTTGGGGAATGATGCTTCTGCATTTTACTATTCAGCAGCAAACACAACACGAAAGCAGTTCAGTCCTGCGTGAGCAAATTTTGGATCTCAGCAAAAGATACATCAAAGCATTAGCCGAAGAAAATAAAAATGTGGTTGATGGGCCTTATGTTGGGACAGTGACAGCATACGGTAAGTGTGTGCTCTAGATTACATGATAATCTGATTAAGGTTTTTTCTAAGTTGTCCAAACATTTTACTTCATAATGCTGCTCAATTGACAGTACTTTGCACTGTGGATTTTCTGCACAGATGGAGAAAACGGTCTTTACTTGCAAGTATGAAATGGGACAAATTTTACATTTCCAGTCACTTGGAGATGAAGTTGTCTTCTGTTTTTTACTACATCTTTCTAGTAGCTATATCTGGTATGCCTCAGGTTATTTGTTAGAACTTAGTTTAAAAACACTTTTGCTGTTTTTGAGAAACTTGGGAGGCTTTTCAGTTTGCACGTCATGACCAAAGAAATTCTTGTGGAGGAAGAACTTGCTTTACTGATAAAGTGGAGACCTGCTATGTTTGTTTCCTCTTCTTTCCCATTTCACTTCTTTGTTCAGTCAACTTATTTAATGTTTAAGTTTATGTATCTGGCATAAGCTTAAATTAAGCTTAAATATATCATATTTGCCTCAGGTAGAGAACTCTTTTTGTGAGTTTCAGTGCTTTGTTCGGCAGCGAGTTTTAATGCTTACTCTCTTCCATTTTGTACAACATGACAGTTAAGTTCGTGTGCACGTTCGAGAGGAAACATGCGGAAAAGAAACAAAGCATATTGCTAGAAAATATTATGAAAATAAGAATATCCAGTTTCAGGTTAGGTGTGGTCCCTCTTCAGTCTGGTAGGATCACATCATACATCTTACTTGTTTAGCATTTTTTAAACTCACTTTCTTTCCTACTTACCTATGCACTTTCAGGCTATCTGGAAAGTTAATGGCTAATTAGTCATCTAGATTTGTTTCCTTTTATAGTTGCCTTAATATTCAGCTCTGAAGAAATTGGATGGATGTCTTTTGTAGGCTTAGACAAAAAATAAAGGCTAGGATGCAACAGACAATGGCTGTGCCTTTTCTTCTACTTTTCTTTTAACACTCTTTACTTTTTGGTGCGTGTAATGAAAATGTCCTGCTGGGAGATTCTCTCCATGTCTTGTTTCTGTTTCCTCTAAAAAAAGAATTTTTGATTTTACATGAAGGTGCTTGCCTGTAAGGCTGAGATTATCATCCCAAACATAGCTAATAATTATATTGCTTTGTTGCTTAAACAACGAGCTGTCCTTATTCTGTAACTTCTGCTGATTTGTGGCTGCATGTAGAACTATACTGGTATTGTAATCTTACAAAACAACACAAGCTCAATATTTAGTAGAGGTTCCGAGAGAATTGTGTGCATAGGCTTAAAACAAAACCCTCTCTGCTATATAGCCATCATCAGTGTCCCATTATCAAGTAAGGGTGCTTTGATGATAGGTGAGTTGAAGGAAAAAAAAAAAAAAAACAAACCAAAAACCAATATGTCTCCAGAAATTGAAGGGTAACTGCATTAATCTGTGCTCTAGCTAGGTCTGAGAGTACAGGATACCCTTAAGCTAAGATCCCCCTGCAGCTTGTTGCTTGTGGCATTCATTTCCTGTTGCAAATGCCGCTGAGGACTGAGTTGGCTTGCTGCCAAACAGTGGTGAAGTTCCCCAGGAGAAGTTAAACTGCATTTGAAAGTGGGTGAAATAACTTTGTAATGCTTCTGTGAAAGTAAAGCTAAGTTTTGTGCAGAAATTTTAAGTTCCACAGCTAAGAAGAATTTTAAGGCTAAAGACAAGTTTGGGCAGGTGTTTTCAATTAAGGAGTTTGGAAGGACGCAAAATAATGGTAATATATTTATGTAAAATATTAGAGGGAAAGATGCTATGGTGAGTGAATAACACCATATTAAATAATACTTTATGAAACTGAGTAAGATAATAATGACTTAAGAAGTAAGTTTGTCCTGTTCGGCGTACCAAGTGATTTGTTGATAGCAAATGATCAGGTTAGCTGTTCAGGAATAAACACATTAATGACTAATATTAATGATAATGGGTCAAAGCTGGTTCACTGTTCTATGAAAATTAACGCCCTTGCTATTTAGCCTTTTATTTCTTTTAATCTTATCCTCTGATTGCTGTTAGCGAGCACAGTCATGATTTCCATGTTCAAGAATAAGTTTTAAGTTTGCTTGATTTGGCTGCTTTTACCCACCCAAAAGGTTTGCAGTCATTCCTTAATTGTGGTTGAACAGCTTGTTCACTTTCTTACTTTTTCTTTCTACCATATATTAACCTGTCAGGTAGGGGGATCCAACAGTTTTAGAAGTTGTAGTCCAAATACACACAGTGAGTATTAGATTTTTATAGCAGTAAACAGTTGTTTTGCAAAAATTATTCTGAATCTGTGCCTCTGCTCTCCCCTTCTCAAACTAGCCTCCAGTTGCTTTTTTGTTCTGGTAAGCAGTCTCTCATATCAGTGTTTTGGTATCAGTATTAAAAAATTGCAATGTTTAGCTGTTATTCTCTTTGTGCTCTCTGTATGCCTTTATGTATGCTGTGTTTCCTCCTCATTGTTTCCTGAAATTTTTTTTTACTACCTTTCTTTCCTAGATTTTTTCCTCCTTCTGTACCATGGTTTTGTTCATGTTAAATCCCTGCTCTACTCTTTCCTTTTCTTCTGCACATGACTATTAAGTGACTTTTAAGATACTCCAGATCATTAGTGCTTAAGATTCCATCTTCTGATCTTTCAAGGACAAAGGAAAACGTGCAGTTATAAAGAGAAAGATCTACTTTATGGCTCCATGGAATAAATGTAACTCTCCTTTTATTTGGAAAGAAGAATTATAAGCTTTCTAAAAGTAATAGCCTTTTCCTATTTACTCTCTCATTTGCACAAGGATTAGCCTAGTCATGGAAAAAAAAATAGAGGCAGCACAAAATAAGCATGGCAAAAATACAACTGATGTTGGGGCAGAGGAATCTTTTCAGATGTAAGGAGAAATTTTCTATTGCAGATTAGAAAGTTACTTGATTCTGAAGTTGTGGAAAGCAGCAAATGTATTATACATATGCATATGTAATTATTTTATGTAATTAAATGGGAAAATAATGTAAATTCATCATACCAAATTCTTTAATCCTGAGACAAGGATAAATGAACAAAGAACAATACTTTCTTTCATCTTCTTTGGCTTGTTGCCACTATAATGATACAGTTCAGTCTGATAGTGGTCTATTTTTCCCCTCTTGCCCACAGTTCTTTTAGCTTGCCCAACTCTCTGTGTTACTTGAAGAAATCTGAACAAAAGAAAAGGGAAAGAAAAAGTATCGGAGAACTCTTTCTGGGTTGTCATTTCATATGCAAACTCCTGTTACTGTATGTTGCCTTCCACTTGAAGGAAGTGCTGTTGTCAGAACAAATAGGTAGAAGCAATAACCAACAGACTGGAGATAAGAAACAGGTGATTTATGGTGCCTTCTGTATACGACAGAAAGGTTGAACTTAACATTTTTTTTTTTTTTTTTTTTTTTTTTTCTTCCTGGTGCAGAACCTGATTTTGGTGGAGGAGATGCAGGAGAAGGTTTTTGTACTGGCTCAAAGCTGTCCCTTCTTTTGGGAAAGAGATTTTTGTTTCTGGGTGACTGAGCATCTAGCAGACTGTTTCTGTGATAGTGCTTGAATATGGATTTAGGTTTAGATTCATTATTATTAAAGCAACTTGAGCTATTACAAAGCACGCATTTTTTTGTTCCCATGTGTGTACCCATAAAGGCGCACATTTCACCTTGAATATAGGATAAGTGTAAGAGTTGCAGTGTGCTTTATAAAATACATAGGAAGACAAGTTCCACGTCCAGGGAAACTTGTATCTGAGGCTGAACAAAGTACGGAACATTAGTGTATAGAACTGCTAATGACAAAGATGTGCGCTGATAAAGTGTCTATATATATTCCAGTCTCATTCTTGTATCTATTTTTTGATTCTGTCTGACAGTGTGCATTGCATTATTAAGCAATTTAACTTTTCATTTTCATTTGTAGATTTGAAGAAGACACTTGCTGTCTTGTTGGATAATATCTTGCAGCGCATTGGGAAGCTAGAGTCCAAGGTGGAAAATCTTGTACTTAATGGAACAGGAGCAAACTCTACCAACAATACTAGCACTCCTGCTCCCAGCTTAGGAGCAGTTGAAAAGCTTAATGTAGCAGGTGGGTATAGCAATTGTTTAAAATATTTATGGGCTGTTTAATCTGTATTTTTTCTCTTTTGGCCATAACATGATTTTTCAGTGTTAGATACTTGGAATGTCATAGAAAACAAAATTCAAAGTCTAGCCTGTATCAATGGCAATCTTAAGTCCAGTGGTCTTTTACAAGCTCTGAGGAAGACTTTCTTCTATGCTAACTTGAACACATTGAAGAAAATAAAATTCTCTGCCTAAAGAAAGAAAACATTTATTATGTGTTACTGGTTCTGATTTAAAAATGTCCTTCCCTACTCTGCTGAATAGCTCTTATCATTTGACAGACAGAAATGACCTAACTGGTACCTTCAGCTTAAATCTATGTTTTAAAATGTCATTTGCAGTCATTAATTTTCTCTTCAGTGAATGGACTGTTTTCTACCCTTACAACTTCTCAAATCATTGGAGTCATCCTGTGGTAGTAGAATGCCTTGCTGGCCTCTTCACCTGCATGTCTCTGTTCCTTTAGTGTTCCCAGCTTTGAATGTGGTCGGTACACTGAATAGATCTTCTTGTGTATACTGCCTTGTCTATTGCTGGGCATGCCGGGCATTTTGCTCTGTCACCAAGTCTAAACAGATGCTGGCTGTCCTGACCCAGAAGGTCTGAGTCTGCCCTGCCTATGATCTCTGCAGTCCCAAAAAGGGGACAGGAGAGAAGAGTTAGGGCAACTTGGTAAATAGGTTGACAGCTGTGCTCCTGAGTCTTGCCTGTGCTTGGGTTTCCTGTAAAAATAAATACTTCTGTTGAGAGGGTGTTAAGCTCTTAAGTTTGTCAAAACAGAGAAGCAGATGCTGCCTTTGGTAGGGTAGTACCACTGAAAGGAAGTCTGGGAGAGCAGATGCACAAGTGATTACCCACGTACAGCATACCAGCAGAGCTGCTGTGTCAGCTGCTCTGTCCTGACTGCATTTATCTGTACCAGGATGTTAAAGGCATACTCTCTCTTGGTGAGACAGATCTTTGTGTCTCTCTTGCCACATAGTAGAAATATGCTTATAGGCATTTACAACAGCCCTTTGCATGTGTGGTTTACTGCTGCTTGCCTTGTGGTACCTTTTTTCCCCCCTGTGTCTTTCATCTTGGTTAGACTGAAGGCAGATTAGAAGTAACTGAAGAGGTATAGCACCTGCGGACTGCTAATAGGGTGACCTGTGTTGCTACCACAAGGAGTACGACACAAGATCTTTGTTGGAAGATCTTCCACTTTGATGGGAAGTGAGCTAGTGCAGTGTTGTTATAGTTTCTGGGCTATATATAAAATTAAAAACATCCCTGTATATCTTCTGTTTGTAGCTGGACAAAAGAGAGACTTGGTGCTGTTATTTCAATAGATTTGCAGGTAATTGGAAGAAGCATGCTCATGTCACTGTTTATACATTTATAGGCAAAGGATCATTGTTTTTATCTGACTAGGAAACGCCTCTCATCAGTTCTTAGGGTGAATTGAATTTGTTTATTATTCTTGGAGTTTGCTAGATGCGCAGCTTTAGTACTCAGGAGCAGCGTTTAAGGAGCTTGGTAGGAGTTCTCAGTTTGCAGTGTTTACATAGCTTTTTGCTGCCTGAGGCTTGCTCTGTGGCAGAGACCACTGTCTTATTAGAGCTTCAGTTTTTTACCTTTGACTCTTGGTACACTAAGTTTAAAATATCTGAAGCCACTATATTAAACAGCAACAACAGAAAAACCTTTAGGAAACAGTGTCCTAAGGTTTGATTAATGTTTTGTTCTGGTACCTGTTTGGGCAATGTTGCTGTTCAGATATCTCCAGGCTGGATAGTACCAATGGGTAGAATAGAGCTTGAAGCTAATCCTTGTGTTAAAGTGCCTACTGTTCATCCATTTGAAGCAATCAGTGGAAATTCATCTGATGAGAGGCAGCCAAATGGAAATGAAAAACTTGTTTCTACTTCTGTCTTCATAGCAGTTTCCTGACAGTAGCAAACTCTGGAAGCCATATGATTCCAGTAAAATCATAATATCTTCTCTGTTAGGAAGGAATTGTTCAGAAAATAAGCTAGGTGAGTAAACATTGTGATTACAATACCAGCTACAGTGTTGGTTTTGTCTGTAATATTTCAACAGCACCCTTTTTTATTGTGCTAGAGCAATTGAGATAATCTGAAAATTGTTGTAGAGAAGGCATTTCGTTACCCAACAGTTTGTCATTTTACTGGAGCTGAAACATGTATGTCTACAAATACAGATGATACTTCCATTGTTTTCTTTATTCAGCTGCTACACTATGAAGTGATCGCAGAAAGCAAACATGTTAGGATTACCGTTTCTCTCTATCAGGTGTAATATTTTAACGCTGACTTCAGAGAAATTCATGTTAGCTATTGTTAGTAATTTTGCTCTTTCTGTCTGGACAACCGTAGTATTTATGGAGTATCTTAACAACATCATGTTTAATATTTTTAGTAATGTTTTTTAAAGACTTCTTGAGTTTATTTTTTTGCAAATCTTTTTTGCCTTGGAGTTGCTGCTTAAAACTCTGAAGTAAATTAAGCATTTTACAGCCTCATTCATCAGTGCAACAGTGCAGTGTCATTAGCAGGTTTTCCTAGAAGAGTCCTGCTTCCAGTGGAGCTGCTTCATGCGTTTATTATTTTTGGATTGAGCTGTCACAGAACACTGAGACCTGATTCTATAATCTGTGTAACCTTGTCCCTTTACCTATGGAAAGCCTTTCTGAAATAAATGAAGTTTCATGCAGGCTTAAGCTGCACCTTAGCATCTAGTGACACTGCTTATAAACCTTGGTAGTAAATAGTGGAGTCACTAATCATACTGAAATCTGTGGGTTTTGTCTTCAATGACCTTGTGTAAAGTTTACTATGTGTTATATACTACCTGAGTAGGTACAAGTGATGAAATAAGACATAATAGAATGACAGGAAGGTGATGATACTGTAAATATTTATCCTCACTGCTGATTATGACTGGACACAAACTCAAGAGCAAAACATAATATTTTTCTTATAACTTAAAACTGACTATCGTGGCAGGCTAGACTTGTCAATCTGAATGTGCTATGGGCTTTCTTCATTGTGTATTTTAAGTATTAGTAACACTTTCATGGGAAAAAAATAGTATTATTTTATCTGTAAACTAGGAAGAACAGAGATTATGATGATTAGTTATAATTTCTCTTTCCAAAGCCTCTCTGCAAGTGGAATTTTCTTTTATTGGGTACATTGCTGTACTCAGAAAGTAGTCCTAAGAACAGTAATCCATATGCTACAGATGTTTTGTGATAATGCAAGAATCCTGGTTTAGTTTCAGGGTCAAGTTATTGGAATCAGTCCAGGTTATGTTTTTTTCTGAGTTTAATAAACACAACTGGTATGTGACCATTACTCAGATTTATGGATTGAAAAAGTCTTTTCTTTGAGATTAAGGACACTGGCAACTGGACCAGATACAGATTTTTAAAAAAAAATTTCCACTCCTGTCCACCTTTTCTGTATAGGTAACTAGAACAATAGTATGAAAAGGGAATATTTATAGTATTAAAATGTATGGATGTTTTCTTCAGTTCATATGTACATTGTTTTTAGCTTAGCTCAGATACGAGTTTGAATGTGACTGTGTAAGTAATCCAGGTAACAATGAAGAGAATGTATGTTGAGAAATGGTTGTCAGTTGCAAAGTGGTTGAAAAATCAATTTGTTTAAAATGCTGACGTTTCTTAATGAACTGAGGTCAGAGGGTATTTAATTTTTGCCCACTATACGTCTTGATGGCAAAATGTCTGTTGGTCCAGGCAAGTTCTTACTTGTAATTAAGAAAGATTTGCAAGGTTACTACTCCTAATGCGCTATATCTGAGCTACAACCACCTTCAGTTACCACAGTCCCTTGGTGTTGCAATGTGGAATCCATCCTTCTAATGAAGAAAAAAAAAATCTTCTATGTACTTCTTGATATTTTTAATATTCTTTTGGGGATGTAGATATCCAGACTTTGAGAGTGGTCACTGCAGCTGCCTGGGCAAATAAATTTGAGTAGTTCCTGTTCCCCTAAGGAACAGGGCTGCTCTGTGCTAGTGGGCAGCAGTTGCCTGTAACTCGATGACAGTGTTAAGAAAGGCATACACAGACTTTGCAGCCTTACAGGTGTAAAAGCAGATGAAAAATTCCCTCTGAACCAGGTGGATGAGAAAAGACCTAATAATGATGAGTTTTGTAGCTCCTTTTAAAACAACTGTAACTACTGTTTGTACTCAGGATGTCATTTGAAGGGCGACCAAATGTCTTCTAAAACTTTTATCAGCAACTTCTGTAGGTTTTCCTGGTAAATGATAGCACCAGTAGCAGAAAGATGAACTAGGACAGTTTCTTGATGAAAAGAAAAAACATGAGGGAATTTTTAAAATCCATTTTTACCCTGTGCTTTGACCACAGTAGCCAGAACAAACAATTTATGTGATAGGTATTATTGGTACAGAGCCCATGACTTTTTCAGTAGAGCAGCCTCTTCATTACCATACTGAAACCCAAGATATGCTGGTATTTGGAGATTACTTAGCATAAGTAAAGCATACTCTTTGACCAAGATTTATAATTGTACTTTGGGCAGACGTGCAGATATCTTAAGAATATGACTCAGTGTTTAAAATGTAGGGGCTGTTTGGAAATAAAGTTATGCATCACTTTACAAAGGTCTCTTCATCAGATATGCTCCTTATTTGGCGAGGCATGGAGAAAGTGGCGCTTTTTTTTTCTTTTTTTTTTTTTTTCCTTAAATTGTTCCACCTCTGGCTGTCAAACGTAGTGTAGAACTGAGGCAGCAGTGGTGAAATCTGCAACGGCAAATATCGTTCTGTGGTGGTGTGTAGAGTTTTTGGCAGATAAAAGGATCTGAAGAAAATCCATCTGGATTATGCTCGTTCATAATAAGAAGGTGATAACAGTTGGTAGGAGGAAATGTTGAGGATTTAGCAAGGACTGTAACTCAGCTG